AATACGCTAGCTTAAAGGATCAAAACACTAGCTAACGTAAGAAATACACTAGTTAAAAGGATCAAAACACTAGCTAATGGAAGAAATACGCTAGTTAAAAGGATCAAAACACTAGCTAACGGAAAAGGATCAAAACACTAGCTAATGGAAGAAATACGCTAGTTAAAAGGATCAAAACACTAGCTAATGGAAGAAATACGCTAGTTAAAAGGATCAAAACACTAGCTAACGGAAGAAATACGCTAGTTAAAAGGATCAAAACACTAGCTAACAGAAGCAATACGCTAACTAAAGGGATAAAAAACTAGCTAACAAGCAATACACTAGCTAAAAGGATCAAAACACTAGCTAACGGAAGAAATACGCTAGTTAAAAGGATCAAAACACTAGCTAACAGAAGCAATGTGCTAGCTAAAACAGTCAAAAAACTAGCTAACAAGCAATACACTAGCTAAAAGGATCAAAACACTAGCTAACCGAAGAAATACGCTAGTTAAAAGGATCAAAACACTAGCTAACAGAAGAAATACGCTAGTTAAAAGGATCAAAACACTACAGTTTCGATCTTCTTCTTCTTCTTCTTCTTCTTCTTCTTCTTCTTCTTCTTCTTCTTCTTCTTCTTCTTGTCTGGGGTTGGGTCTCCACCAGCCCACCCCACAGCTGCGGCCCTGCTCATAATAAAACCTTCCTCAGTAATGATAGTTTATGTAGTTTTCAGGGATCAGTGAGGCTGCAGCAACTTGTCTTTAAAAAAACAGAAATGTTTTCGCTCTGGGGCCCAAAGCAAAGAAATCTTCAGTTTATCTGTTGTTTCCTGCCGGAGCAGTGATGACAAGTGGAAACTGGAAATGACAGACAGACAGAGGAGGGAGGAGAGGAGGGAGAGAAACCCCCGGAGACGAGCGGAGGAGGAGACAGACAGAGAGAGAGAGAGAGACCGGGACCAGACCAGACCAGGACCAGACAGGACTCCCTCGGCGCTTCCAGACGCCGGTTCACTCAGCGGAAACGCGGATGGACCGACGCTGATCTCCCGCGGACCAGAACCGAACTTTAGACCCAAACAGAAGTGATAGTTGGAGAGGAAGAGGAGGAGAAAGCAGAGAGGAAGAGGAGGAGGAGGAGAGCCGGAGCGGAGGCTGCAGAGGACAGGCAGACAGAAGGAGGCTTCTCAGGAAGAGGAGGGCAGTTTGGAGGTTTTTTTCTCCCAGACCTGACCCTGCTGGAGGACCTGACCCTGCTGGAGGACCTGACCCTGCTGGAGGA